GGCCGAATCCCTTTGGGCCCCGCCCCCGCCCCCACCCTTGGGGGTGGGGGCCCCCGCCCCTTTCGGGCCCCCCTTGGGGCCCCTGGCAGGGGCCCCCCCTGGGTGGGGGCCGGGGATTCCCATGCGGGTTTTTCGCCACAACCCCCGCCGGGGGGGAATCCCTGCTCCCAAAAAAGGGTTTTGAGCCCTTTTTTGGGCACGCCCCTGGGGGGGGCCGGGGACCAGTTCCGGGAGCGCTCGTCAGCGGGGGGTGTGCGGTTTTTGCCGTAGTTCCTTTTGGGTCCCCTAGCCCCGGCCCCTTTTTTTGGACCCCTGGGTTTCCCGAGTGCGAACCCCTCGCGGTTTGTACCCCCCCTTGGGGGTTTGAGGGGGGGGCTTTCCCCCTTGCGGGATGGCTTAGCGGGTTCGAGCCGTCCCCCATTGGCTCCCGGGGTTTCCCGAGGGGGGGCTGGGTGGGCCGTAAACCGTCATTTCCCGGCGCTGCTTGCAGCCCTTTGGGGGGTAGGGGGGGCCCTCCAAAAGGGGTGCTCTTGGGAAGAGGTTCCTCCTTTCCGCTCCCCCCCCGCAAGGCGGGAGACACCCACTTTTTTTCAATAACAAGGTCTGGGAAAGCCCCCCCCCCCCCCCCCCTCCCCAGGGCCTCCAGGGCTCGCACCTCAACCTCTCACAGACCAGCGCAAAGTTCCAGGGGAGGTATTTTCTTCTCAATAACAAGGCTGTGAACACCCACCATACCGTTTTAGGTTTTGCGGGGGGGGCGCGGAAAAGAGGTCCTCTTAGCGCCGGTGTGAAGAGGGCTCCACGAGAGCATCATGAGCGGCGAGGAGCCCACGCTACCGCCGGGCGAGGCGGCGGAGGACCACAAGCGCGAGCGCGAGGCGGAGGAGGTGGCGGCCGACGGCATCTCAAGCGTCAAGCGCCTTCGCTCCGACGTCGACGGGGCCGCCGCGTCGCCGACGGCAGACGCCGAATCCGCGGCGCTGGGCGGGCCGGGCGCGCCCGCAGAGGCGGCGGCCGCGGGCGGCGCGGCCACCTACGTAGGCGGGCCTGGCGCGGGCGCCGCGGGTGCCGCGGTGGCTGGCGCCGCGGTGGTCGGCGGCGCAGTTCCGGCGCCCATCTCGTACGACGCGGCTGCGGCGGGGCTGACGTCGATACCAAACACGCCGTACTCGTACGACGCGAACGCGGCCGGCCTGACCGCCTCCCCGGCCGCGGTGACGGGCGACCTCGCGAGCCAGGTGCTCAAGCTGCTCGTTCCGGAGAAGGAGACGGGCAACGTGATCGGGCGCGGCGGCGAGCGTCTCAAGGAGATCCGGACCGCCACCGGCTCGCAGACCCAACAGACACTTCCCAGACACTTCCTAGACACGCGTTGACTGACGGTTGCCTTTGTG